TGGGGTACATGGTGACTAGGCAGGGCATCGAAGCCAACCCTGACCAAATCAAAGCCCTTAAAGACCTCGAAGTGCCAACAAAGGCTAAGGAACTCCAGAAACTTGCTAGCATGGCTGCAGCACTTAACCGTTTCATCAGTCGATTCTCTGATCGGATGAAGTCCTTCTTCCAACTTCTAAGGAAGAAAGCAAACTTTGAATGAGGGAGCCAGTGCTCTGAAGCACTAGAAAATTTGAAGAAGTATTTGTCCTCACCTCATCTTCTATCCACCCCTGTCGCCAATGAAGAGCTCTTCCTTTACTTGGCTGTTTCTGATCATGTTGTCAGCGCAATGCTGGTTAGAGAGGATAGAAAGGAACAAAAACCAATATATTATGTTAGCAAGACTCTCTTAGATGCCGAAACTAGATACTTGCCCCTATTAATTACTTCTATGAAGCTTGTTCACTACTTTCAAGGACATACCATCAACGTCCTCACTGAATTTCCTCTCAAGTCAGTGTTCAGTCGAGCTGATTTCTCAGGCCGAACAGTGAAGTGAGCGGTGGAGCTTGGAGAGTTTGACATCATGTTCCAGCCTTAAACTGCCATCAAAACTCAAGTCCTGGCAGACCTTGTTGCAGAATTCACTCCAAGACCAATTATTCCCTCCTAAGGGAGCTCGGCCTTGGTCACTATGACTGCCTAACACAGAGGGCAATCCCTAGTCGAAGCATGGAAGCTTTTTATCAAAGATGTATGGAAGCTGTTTGTGGATGATTCTTCTAACCAAAAAGGCTCAGGGGCAGGAATTGTCCTTATTTGTCCTGAATGATTCATGTAGGAACAGGTCATCTGATTGGGCTGGAAAGCTTCTAATAATGAGGCAGAGTATGAAGCTCTACTAGCCGGCCTGCAAAGTGCTGAACACTTCAATGTGGAGGAGCTACTTGTCTTTAGTGATTCCCAATTAGTGGTCAACCAACTCTCTGGAGTTTACGAGGCTCGCAATGAATGGATGGCCACTTACGCAGAATAAGACAAAAATTTAATCAGAAAGTTCCAAGCCATCAGAGTTGAGAAGATTGGCCGAGAGGGAAATGGTCACGCTGACGCCTTAGCTTGCTTGGGTTTCTCGGTCGACTCCAGAGACGGCCGCAGAATATGGATGGAATATGTACCCCAACCAAGTATTCAACTAGTGGAAATGGTCCTTTGCATTAACTTGGGCTCGAGTTGGATGGACCCACTCTTGGCCTTCTTGAAGAATGGCACCCTTCCTGAGGACAAAAAAGAAGCGCACAAGACAAGGCACAGAGCTCCTCGGTTTCGGGTCTCCCCATCTGGCAAGCTTTACAAGAAGTCTTACATGGGCCCTTATCTACTCTGTGTTCATCCAAGTCTGGTGGAGAATGTGCTTTACGAGATCCATAACGGAATCTGTGGAAGCCACACTGGTCGGTCCTTGGCACACCGGGCCCTAACACACGGGTATTGATGGCCACACATGCAAAAGGAGGCCCAACAGTATGTCCGCAAGTGCAACAAGTGCCAAAAGTTTGCTCCTCTCATTCACCAGCCAGCCAGCCAAAGCTCTAACCCCCCTCACCAGTCCTTGGCCATTCGCTCAGTGGGGCTTAGATATTATTGGACCACTAGCCAGAGGAACTGGGAATAAAAAGTTCTTCATTGCTGCAACTGACTACTTCACTAAGTGGGTGGAGGTGGAGGCCTTGTGCAAGATCAAAGAAGTAGACACTAAGAGGTTTGTTTGGCGTAATGTTGTGACTCGATTTGGCATCCCCAGAGTCCTTCTCTCTGACAATGGCACACAATTTGATGACAAGGTCTTCAAAAGATTTTGCACTAACTTGAAGATAGAATTTTGGAACTCCACTCCAGCCTACCCACAAGGCAATAACCAAGCTGAGGCGTCTAACAAGACAATTATCGATGGGATAAAAAAGCGCCTTGAAAAAGCCAAAGGCAAATGGGTGGAAGAGAGACCGAATGTCCTGTGGGCCTACCAAACTACTCCTTGCCGGTCGACCAGTGAGACACCTTACTCTCTTACCTATGGGATGGAAGCAGTCATCCTTTTGGAGGTTGGCCTTCCTACCATCCGTTCTGAGATCTTTGAGCCAGCAGACAATGATGAAGCCATCACCCAAGCTCTGGACATGGCTGAAGAGCGTAGGGAAGCTGCCCTCGTTCGATTTGCAGCTTACCAGCAGCAGCTCACTAAGAGCTTCAACAAGAATGTGCGTCCAAGGCAATTCCTAACAGGTGACTTGGTACTCAGGAAGGTGATAGATCACAAGAAAGTTCCTAGAGAAGGGAAACTTGGTGCTAACTGGGAGGGGCCCTACAAGGTTACTTTAGTACTTGGCAATGGCGCATACTATCTGGCTGATTTAGCAAAGATGGCAATCCCTAGACCATGGAACATTGCCAACCTAAAGAAGTACTTCCAATGATGTGATTCTTAGAATGAAGTATTTTCAGTAATATATATTTCTCAGAACATGCCTTGATGTAATCAAAAGTTCTAAGTATCAATGAATATAAATTAGTTTTACAATTTGTCTTTATTTACTTGCGTTGTACATTTATGCTTGGTGGAGCAAATTGGCCACGGGTCTTAACTCAAGCCAAGCCTGGATGCTTGACCCTTTGGTTGGAGCAGGGTTCCAAGTGGTATAACTTGGTGGAATTTGTGCCAAGTATCGTTACTTGGAGCATGGTCCATATTCACAATTCGCGCTCGAAGAAGGGCCAAATTACACTCTACGATAGGTTAAATCACACCAAAACTTGACCAAGTCAGGTGGCGGCCGAACAACATGATAGAAAACTTTCATAATTTTTTCTCTCCTAAGGCATGAAGCATGGTCTGACTGAACAGACAGCTTTTTGAGCCACAGAGCTCTTGCTCGACTGGGGGCATCAAAAACTCACTCAGTTTTTTCTAAGGCACAAAGCCTGATTAGACCAAACAGATGACTTGCTAGGCCACAGAGCCTCTGCTCGGCCAGGGGCAAACATTACATACAAGCAAAAATTGAAGATAGCTGTGCAACACAGAACACAAATTTGAAGACCAAAATAATGATTGAGCTGCGTAAATGTGTAAATTAAACGGAGTTGCTCGGCATTTCAAGTGTTGGAAAAGGCTTGACTGAGCAATGACGTCCAAACCGACCAATGCATGAAGAAGTGGGCTGAAACAATTGATTTGCCAATTACGTCCAAACAAGATAGTGCATGAGTAGGACTTGGCCGACCAAGCCCCGAGAACATCACGTTGATTTTCTAGATGAGATCGAGCAATCATAATTTTTCACTATTTATTTTCGTTGGAAAACGCACTTACTCGGAGCATATTATACAATTTTTGCAGCCGTTCGGCCCACCAATAAATTTGCTTGGATAATGCATGTGGAAGTTAAGCAAAAGAGTATTTATCCTGTGACTATGCACAAAAAGTCAAGCAATTGGCCCACCAAACACTTCCATAGCAAGCTTACAAGATTTGAATAAGTGGAATACCAATTCTGTAGCCGTCAAATACCCAGCAAATAATATTTGCATGCTATTACCATGCATGACAACCAAGGTAGGGCCCACAAAGCATTACCCATCAACATTATCAAAACAAGTTAGAAATTTGCTATGATAAGGCATGCTTGGACTGCTTTGAAGCACGTTGTGTTGCTCGGTCCAATTGTTGAACTTCAGATATATATATATATACCCCCCAAAAAAAAAATGTGTGTACATATATTTTTAAAAAAAAATAAAAAATAAAATAAAATAAAAAATTGTGTGTATATATATATTTTCAAGTCAAGCAGCGACGCTCAGCCGACTGAAAGAGCACCAAGCTAGACAGTTACGAGGCTAGTGAAGATACACATTTAGTTTGGGGGCATAATCGAGCTACGAAATATTGGGCAAATACAAACATTGGGCCGAACAATAATTTTGAATCCAACTCACGAAGCTCAAATTAAGTTGTGATCAACCAAACTTCAAAGTTTGTGACAAAATTGGCTTCCGCTTCGCTAAACGTAAGCACAAGCCAGGGGGCAAATGAAGTGGGTAAAAATTAATCAAGTCTTGGTGATAGGCCCAATGTTATGCTCACTTCGAGGTCGAGCTAAGTTGGACCTTGGCCCTTTGGCCAACACTTGCTCTGAAGCAAGACAATCATAGGAGTTCGGCCCAGTGCACGAGCGTCACTCCAAAGTGGGCCGAGCAGCATGGTGGACCTCCTGGATGGACAGACAACCACTCCGAAGTGGGCTGAGCAACATGTTGGACCTCCTGGTTGGACAACCATTCTAGAGTAGACCAACTTAAAGAAGGCCAATTCACTGAAGATCTTTCTAGGGCCCACAAGAGACAAACAACTCTGCTCCTCTCCCTCTGTGTGAACAGAACGTGGAGACATGGAGGTGTTGAGGGACAAGGCGCACACATGATAGACCTGCATTTGAGTGTCAGGTGAGTGGTCGTCCTCCTCTAATAAGAAATGATCACTAATGAGACAAACAAAACAGACCTGCACCCGAGTGTCAGGCGGAGTGGTCGTCCTCCTCTAATGGGAGACGACCACGAATAAGACACATTGGACAGATGGCGGAGAGAGAAGGTCTTCGAGGACAAGCAACCTTCTCCTATAAAAGGTTAGCACTATTCACCCTCAATGGATCCGAAAATCCACACACTCAACACATACACACTCTTTGTATTCTCTCTTTTTCCTCTCCTTGAGTTCCTGACTTTACCATCGGAGGGGTTTCCGACCAAATTCCGGTCGGACAGCCTCACCGTTTGTTATTTTGTGCAGATCTTCAATTCCCAAAACATGCTGTTTATCCACGAAGTTCAACCCTTCTTCATAGTGCGGAAATCACCCCCGCACACCAATTATTAAAATCCAGAGTGGAACATTCATCATCAAGGATACATCATGACCAATGGTGCGAAAAATTGAAACCACATTTCACATATTTCATTACAACCTTATCCTACCATCACAGTGATAGTTCCAATATCCACTACAAGAATTTACACTTTTGGCAACAAAAAAATTGGTCGCCAAAAGTCAATTTTTGGTCGGCAAAAGTTATCCGCGACCAATTTTTTTGGTCGCTACTTTGGTCGCCAATTGAGGGTCGGCAAAAGTAATTCGCGACCAAAATTGTGGTTGGTCGGCAAAAGTTGGATTTCGCTTGGGGTCTTCTTTTGGCTTCAGAGAAGTGGAAGGAGAAGGAGTCCGCTCTTGCCCCATCTCGGCCCTCAAATCATTGATGCTCTGCTCCAACTCATCTATCCGACTGCCCATCTCATCAAGTGCATCGTAGTTAAAGAAACAATAACTTTATTAATCTCAAAATTCAGTACCACATAAATAGTTTAACACCTCATAGAGAGATACCTGTTACGAGTTTGTTTTCTATTGCATTTGGCAACATAAATCTGTTGTTCAGAAAGGAAATTGCAAAACAAAGATGCTCCCCTCTACCCTCTTCCTGAGAGAGAGAGAGAGAGAGAGAAATGTGAGAAGGAAAATAATTTACTATCTTATCATGGAAAAGAAATTGCAATTTCTTTTATGGCAAACAACCCAAGCCTCCAGTCATTGCAAGAAAACTAGTCCTTCATTTGTCATAGTAAAAACATGAAGTGATGTCTTTTATATCTTTCTGTTTTTTAACAAGAACCTCAATACAGAATGGGCTAATCTTATCAAAATCTTGGAAAGCAATTCAATTGAAATGCTATAAAAAGTATAACCAATATTAAATGCACAGAAATACCAAAACACCAAAGGAATGGTTTTACTTCCTTGAAACATAGGTATACCGTTCACCGGTAAAATGCAATTAATGTGGAGAAAATGAAAAGGATATTCTTTGAAATGATGGAGTCAGACATCGTCTGAAACCTAGATTGCTGCAAAATTCAAGAGTAAAAGCAAAGAAATTAAATTATTTGAACAGTGGTGTTGTATTTATATAAAACCCTAAAAAATTGAGATGTAAAAGACTCACCATTTGCTGCAGAAGATTTTGCACCTGAAAAACAAATACGAAAATTTCAGTAAATACGGTGGCTTATTCACTTAAATCAAAGGGCATACAATTTCAAAGGAAGAAGATACGATCCATGCTTATTGTAAAATATAAGGAAGAGAATGTGGTTTTATAACTTTCTTCCCTTGTTTATATGAGTCTCAAAATATTATCAAGCCTGGTCATGAGTGAACCTCTGGCTGATCTGAAATGAGCTCAATTAATATTGGTTCCTCTAGAGGCCCATAACTACTAGAACAGGGGATCTTTGAACTCCTAACCTACCAAGAATGCAGGCCTTCATTACCGCCATTTATAGACATATGGAGCTATCTCAGATTCTCAATAACTCTTGCATTAATTCCAAGAAAAAATTGACAAGAAACATATACTTATGCATTTTGTTATGGTTACGGAACTCACAAATACTGTCATATCAGCAGTGCTCTGTTTCGGATCATCTGTATCATGACCATCCTGCAAACATAATAGTAAGTTAGTACTGACTACCGAGTACAATGTTAACAAGAAAATTGATACACATCACTGTACAAAACAGAATATGCAGCCACTTATAAAAAAAAGATAGGCTAGAGGGAGAGTTCATTCTTACTCAAATTGGCAAACCTCAAATCAGTGTCACAAGTTCAACTAAATCAGATAAAGGAAGTACTTTTTGCAACTTGTCACACCCACTCAACATCTAGCAATTTGTAAGAGAAACATTGTTCAAAACAACACTAGAGCAGCAAAATCCAGAGCCAAGAACCAATTAATGGAGTTCCACAGGGAAGCTGTTGTAGTGAAGCACGATGTTCACGCGAATATTTCTTGGTCTTTTGCTATACAATATTTCCACTTGAACAACTTTTCTAATAAGTGTAACACATCTGTGTATGTTGGGAGAAAAAGAGAAAGCGGGGGCATGTTTGCTTCTGCAATACCATCCGTTCACCCCGGTGTTCAAATGCAGTCACCTCTGTTCTGGCAAATAAATAAAATTTCAAGACATGACAGTTTCATCAGAGTCAATAACACCATTATATGGGCAACTTTGACATGGGGATACAAACACAATCTACAGGAATCAGTCACAGATGAACTTTAATTCTATAGATCAGAAAGGCTGCATAATTGTTGCTTAGAATGCTCTCCCTATTGATTAATGCTCAACCAAAGAATCTTCTTTAAGGTGGGTAATATGAGAAGAGTGAGGTTTTGACTTGAACCATGGTGTGGTCATTCACCTCTTACGGAGATTTTCCCAGTTTTTTTGCTGTTAACAATCGACACCAATGCATCTGTAGAGAATTACTTAGATATGTCTGAGAGTTGTACGGTATGAAATCCCCAGCTTCAGAGAGCTTTGGCGGATTGGGCAGTCCAATCTATGGAAGCATTCTTTGGTCTACATTAGGATTTAGAAATCAATCAAGGTGATCAGGATGCTTTGGCTTGGTCTAAAACCACCTTCTTCTTTTTTTCCACAAAGTTGTATGGCCATGGCTTCCAAACCATGGTTGGGTTTTTTACAACTCATTCAAGAAATTCCAAAACTCCATTTTGATTAATAAAATGATGCTATAACAATGATCATTATGTTTTGAATTAATCACAAACAATGGTTCTGATATCACAGAAAGGAATCATTTGTTGCACTCTGGATATCTGAAAGAATTAGCATACCACGATAAATAACACACGGTAAACAGAAAAACATGGCAACCTAATACAAGTATGACAAATATAGAAAAGAATTTGAACAAGATTGTGGGATATTCATACATAGACAAGCAAATTCATATTCCCGAAAGAGCTCGTTCAATATCAATTTGTTAAAAACTCGTTCAATATTAGCTCTTCATATAATACAATTTAATTATTTTATTTAATTATAATATTTTTAAATAAATGTGTTTCTATATAAGATGTCTTTTTTATTAATATTAAATAAATACATACATATATATATATATATTATACATATTAATCAGCGAGAGCAAGAGAGAGAGAGCGAGAGACGCGAGCGAGAGGGAAGGCAAGAGAGAGAGAGAGAGAGGCTTACGGTGGTTGAAGTCGACTGGATGGAGGTCGAGGTCGATGGCTTCGTAGACGATTACTATGAATGTTACTTAATGTGGCCTACTTAATGTTACTGAATGTTATTTAATGAGGTCGTGTCCATGCTTCGTAGACGATTACTATCTAAATTTAGAAATGCTACCCACTTCTTATAAGCCCAAATAATTATATGAATGTTACTTAATGTGGCCTAAGTGGTCCCTTTTAAAAATTATAGAAACCCACATAAAAAGACCAATTTATAGTCGGCCACCTTCTGCTTTTAGTTACACGCACGGTATTCCCAACTACGTGAATTAAAACTAACCTCTATTGATGAACACAATCACTCACCAGATGTTAGATATTATTTATTTCCTTCTATCCCCAACTCCTTTGAGTTGAGACTAAAACCCACGGATGTGAGCAATCACCTTCAACATTTCAGCTACTGTTGTTAGTTGATGGATTGTCAGATGTGTTCTTCTGCTGTTCTAAGTTTACCAGGTGTATACCATCAAATAAATGTGCTTTCTTTGCTAAATATCTAAATTTTTTTTTTTGGCATTAAACCCCAACCTTCTCCTGTGCACCAAGCAGAACATAGAAACTTTAAGAGGGGAAAAAGTAGTAACCTCCATTATTGAATGATCTCGTTCAGCAAATGCAGAAGCAACACAACCTTGGAAAAATTTAACCTGCTTCTCCGCTTCCATATTTTTAAAAGGTAAATATAAATAAATGGAATCAGATTACAAGGATCAATATTATGATGGCCAACCTACCCTGAAAAATATCCCTATTGGATGCCTTTCTCTGTCCCTACTGAAAACAATGAACCATACCACTGTTAATTTAGACTTTACAAGCCAATCATTAGTTTTCATGCAAAAACAAGACCATCTTATCTTACAAAAATAATGGAACAAAGAAACCCTCCAGAAAGTGGGAAACGTCATTGGCCTAGTGTTTTATCACTTCAATCAGTATGCAATCTAAAAGAATAAACCAGTAGGCATTCTTTGCCCAAAAACCTAAGACTAATAGGATAGCTACCATTCCATTAGTGAATAATTCATAAGTTAACTTCCTACCAACACCTCCAATGTGAACACATGTGCTGGATGTAGAGAGAGAAAGAGAGCGATACCTTTGATACCTCTGCAGCATGTAAATCAGCCAATTGGCCTTGAGACAAAATAGGAAACATGTAAGATTGTTGGCAGTAGGACTATGCAAGTGCTTATAAAAATAAAAAATAACAAAGTGAAAAAAGGTAAGGAGCCTCACTTTGATACGGTAAGCTTCCGAAAGCTCCTCTTGGAGATTTAACTTCTCTCTAGTGCATGCAGTTAACTTCCTTTTCAAGCTCTCAATCTCCTGCTCACTTCTTTTTCAAGCCAGCTGTCCTAATGGGGGGGGATAAATTCACAATGCATTCTTATTTCCAATTTGAAAAGATAATGCCAACGCATACCTACCAAAAAAAATATTAATGATAACAACTTCATCTGATGGACTTGAGATAAATAATATACCTCTGAAAATGCATTCGAGTAGCCACAGCAAGGTAACCAGGACCAGCTTACTGCATACACAGCTGTTCAATGTCTTCACGTAACTCATCACGCTCTACAAAACAGTATGAACACATCAAATTAGAATGCAGCAGCTGAGAGGGGGCAAGTGAATTAACATTACATCTAGTGAGCAACTTATAAGATTCTTGTGCATTGTATTAAGTTGGTAAACTATATAGTGCAATGCAGCACATCCTGCCACTGTCTCCATCCACTCAATTAAGCACAGGATGAAGACACAAGTTTGGCTCAAAAGAAAACAAAATGATCAGGTTCCAAAATCAGTTATTGGAAAATATTTGGATTTCAGATATTGGCTGAAGTGCTTAACAGGGATTGCACAGGGAGTAGAAGCTCTGTTTTTTGGCACAGAAATGTGAAGTATCCACAAACAAAATCAATTTGATGCAACTTAAGGGGAATATGCAATGATGGTTGTAGAAATTTCGAAGATCTCTTTTCCCGTCTCTTTCATATGGATTGCATTTAAATGTAGAAATAGTGATAATGATACTACAAGAGACAAATTGAAAGCAATTGAAAATTGAACATGCAGACAGGCTAAATTAGCTAACCAACAGGTCAGTTGGCCAATCGGAGAGTGCTTTTTCAAGAAAAGAAGTGAATAAGGATCTGTATAATACTCCCAGGGGAGGAATTTTGAAAACACATTAAAGAGGAAAATCTCTTCAGAGAAATTTTCTTTTAGCAAAAAGCTAATACTAGCTCTCTGACTCAAAGTTTAATGGAATCTAATTTTTGAGATGGGCCACCAAGTAAGGAGAGTAAGTAAACCCCAGAACTTCTCAGATGGGCCACCAACATCTTTGTTTAACACATTTCAATCATGCTGGAAGGTCAGTCACTACTACAACATATGACCACTCAAATTCGGAAAAATTCAAATCAAATTCTAACCAGCACTATAAATATAAACAATAATAATGAACATTCTCATCAATGTCCCCTCACAGAATGTTCCATGACCAAAATTCTATATAGGACATGTCCCATTACCAAAGTGATCTTTTTCACAATCTGGACAGTTTTAGATGAGGAGAGGCAACATACACTGATCTCTTTTTTGATAAGTGGGGCAAAGGCGGTATCGTCTTTCACACCAGCAATTATGTAGAGCCGCACCCTCTGCTGTCCAAATATCATCTCAATATCGTCATCTTTGTTTAGGAATTTTGAAACATCAAAACCTGTTCCCTCAAGGACCTACGTCAAAAGAAAGAAGTTAGAATGCAGCATCAGAATCTAAATTTGTAAATCCATTTTTTTTAGTAGGTTTTTTTTCATTAGGAAATTATGGTTGGGCTTTGGTTCTTAAGTGCAGTTAAGTACTCATTTCAGTTTGAAAATGGATTTTAAGATTTAATTTAAAACAGAAATTGAAAATTCAAATGATGAAAGGTGAATGGTAGTGTTCCAAATGAGATGTAAAAAATGAGATAGCATTGAACTAGAGGTGAAGGAAAACAATGTTGGTGGCAGAAGACAGTTAGTGTGGCATATTGAAGCAGTTATTTGGGGTAATAGTGATGGAAAAATGGTGATGGTGCTGCTGGAGGTAGTGGTTAAGCGGGCAATGGCAGTACTAGGGATGTCAAGAAATGCATGATGCTGGTCATGGTTGGAATGTTGGCAGTGGTGATGGCAACATTGATGGGAATGAGGGTGGTGGTAAGTAAATTGTAAAAATTGTAACACCCATGGCAGCATGAGTGTTGGTGGCAGTGCCTATAGTTACAATCCTTCTAGTGGCAATGACACCTTTCTTTTTCTTTTCTTTTTTTCCATTACTACACAGCAGTCCAATTATCAATCGAAGAATCGGTGAGTTAAATCTATTCACTGGGATTTATGTATCGTCATTATATCTAGAATACAATTCTCAGATTTATGATGGAATTCCAAATCAAAACCACAAGCAATGGTTACTAAAAGGCCCCAAATCCAATTCCACCCCCAACTACTTGATCAAAGAGAAGCCTACAAGGCATTGACTAGGTCATTGCAAGCCTCGATAAGGAACATTATTGTAATTTTGTAACCAACTTACATGAAATGCAAACTCACCATTCCAACTTCAAGTGGTAGAAAAGTTAAGGCCTCATTTGGGATGCTACCTTTTTAGCCAATTAGCCAAAAAGTTACTAAATTAGCCAATTAGTCATACCAAAAAGTCAACAATTACGGCTTCTCTCTACTTTTTGCACAGCTTTTCGTAATTAGTCAAAAAGTGATCCCAAACATACAATTTTTTTTTACCTACCTTTTTAGCCAATTAGCCAAAAAGTTACTAAATTAGCCTGTTCCCAAACGAGGCCTAAGACACCTTCGGAATGGCTTTCTTTGCAGGGGCAAAAGGGAATGGTTTAACTATTGCTTGGTAAGTAGAAGAGCACAATTTTAAAAGTATCTAAAAGGAGGTCCAGACTCTGAAGATTTTATCAAGGGTTTCGGGGGGGAAAAAGTTCTGGAGATTCATTTCTTAGTAATAGAGAAGAAAAAGTAACAGTGGAGAGTAAAAAGAAGCTAGATAGCTAGTGAGAAAGAATCATCATGGCATGTTAAGTTGAATTTCAATGAGGTGACTGTTAGCTCAGCTCAAGATTGTAGATCCAAGAAGAGCAATGTGAGCAATCCAAAGCAGTCATACAGTCGTTTCCAATGAGTGGAACTATCAGTTTCATTTTGTTATTAGAGATGGAGACCCCTTCATGGGGATCCAAATTGATCAGTCAGCACTCAGCACCCGCCCAAAAAAGAAGCCTTAATTGAAGAATATTTATTCAAGGTTCAAGAAAGGTGCTCTAGTTTCAAGGGTATACTGACAGCTATTTTGTTTGATTAATAGTATGCATCCCATGGACAACCTATTAGGTAAGCTTGATGCACTGTAGAAATGATGAATCAGCAAATCAAGCATATTACCCTTTCATCTCTTCCACAGGCGTTTAGGAAACATGGAGGATTTCAAAACCGGCATCAGCAACAGCACATTTCATATATAAATAATAATTAAAAAGAAAATTATGCCCTCTCTGACATTTTGTTCAATTTTATATTAATGGAATAAGTTTCTACATCGATTAATTAATTAAGTTGAACTCTTTCTGTTTCTGGCCTAAAGCTAAAGAATAAAGAATGTCAAGAGAAAGGAAAAAAAGTTCTCCTTAGTGTTCAATACGAATTGTTAATTACTATAAATATGAGAACAACTAAGAATTCCATAAGAAACAAGAATATTTACTTCTCTAACAGCACATGCATGGTCTTCCTCATCTTTGTTCTTTTTCCCACAGGGAAAACTCCAGCTTGTTCCCTTCCATTCTTTCACTAGCAAGCACTGCAGATTGCACAAATTTAGCATATAGGTAACAAGTTAAAACAGTTGCAGATTGAAAATGAAAACACATACAACATATTGAACAACATTTTCATGACATATAGTTTAAGTTTTACAATGGAATTAACATAACACTTCTAATGATGTTAATACCCAACAAAAATGCCACCTACAACATTTTGAATTGAATAATGTGTACATTCTTTTCGGAGACATCACTAGTCGAAAATCAGGTGCATTTTGGGGTCCATACTAGTCGAAAAGTGTAGTATATTTTTGTCTTCATCTTCAGAATCCTCTACCTTTCAACACCCGTGTTTTAATCTACTATCTCGGAGACATCACAAATGAGTTGGGCACACCCATGTTTTAATCTACTATCCCGGAGACATCACAAATGAGTTGGACACAACAAGTAATTTGAGCGCGACTCATATTTGATACATTAAGAGCATATTTAAATGAGCAAATTATAATATAGAAATAAAATTATTAAATTATAGGACTCACATTTTAGTATTTGATTTCAATTTCTATTATTTGAATTAGATTCTGATGAAAATTTCATTCAATAAAGTTGACAATTTTTTAATCATACAATTAATAACACAAGAGAATGTCCCACTGTAAAGTTGATTTATTAGGTTGAAAGTTAAAGTTGATTTATTAGGTTGAAAGTTAAGATATAATGTCCCACTGTAAAGCACCATAAGAGAACAAATATAGACAGTACAGAGAACAATTCCACTGTCATTGTTTCTATATAATGGGTTAGGCT